CCTCTATATCATGTCCCGGTCCTCCTCCCTGTGACACACGTCCCCTCTATACACTCGTGTCTCAGTCCTCCTCCCTGTACTACACGTGCTTTAAGGGCACATGCATGCCCTAGCTTTTGTTCAGTCTTCCTCTAGGGCAGGATCCAAAGCCCATTGAAAGCAGGTGAAAGATCCCCATTGACTTGATGGAGCTTGGGATCCATACCCCTCCCTGCACCAGCACCTCACAAACAGCAAAGCTGCTTTCACAACTGGCTGACTGTGGAGCTCTCTGCACCTTGGGCTGAACCTCGTTAGCAGTAAACTGATCTCCATGGCAGCTCTCACAGGAGCCTGGCCCCTCTTGTCCACTATGGTCCTGCTCCTGCAGGAGGCTGGGTGGGAGGGAGGTTGAAATGGCTCCTGCCTGCTCTGGCTCCCCCTGCAATAGCCTCACACAGCTCTCTGTCTTGCCCCCCCTTCCTTCCTCATCTTTCCCTTTTCACCTTCTCTCAGGCCCCTCTTTGCACCTTCCTCTATGCTGCCCTGGAACCTTTAATCTGTTCTCTTGCCCCCCTGCAAGGGAGGAAGCTTGGATTTGTCCCTCTTTATTGATAGGAAACTGAGGCACTGAGCAGTTGCCTGCTGTAATCATCAAACACTGGGCCCAATTCAGCCCTAGGTTAACTCCATTGAAACCAGTGGACTTACAACAGGATTGCATTTGGCCCAGCATCTTTAACCCTTTGCGTGTTGAATGTCAGTGAACATGTGGGTGTATTTGCAGGTCGACAGTGCCCAGGCGTTCATTTGGCTGTCGCAGCTTCGGCACAGATGGGCTGATGAGGAGAAGCACTGCTTTGCAAACATTTGTGATGCCCAGTTTCTGTACTCCTACGAATACCTGGGCAATACGCCTCGGCTTGTGATCACTCCCCTTACGGACAGGTGGGTCACCGGAATGTCTAGAACCCTTCTCCTGGCATACTGCAGCATCAGAGCTTCCCACGTGGGAGTAAGAAACCACTGTCCGTGGCATAGAAGGGTTGGTTAAGACATCAGAATAGTTCACAAGTGTTTTCCTTCTCTCCACGTTCCAGCTGCCCTGCACAGTGCAGCTCACACACTATCTCCCTGTAGCTCCTCTGTCAGTGTGCAGCGCCACTTGCAGAGCTCAAGGGGGTCTTCAGAATCCACCGGTGTCATCCCCAGGCCTGTCAAAGGGGGTCGCTGCACAGTGATGTGAAGCAGAGTGCTCTGAACCCAGGACTGCCACGTGCTGGTGTGAAACACTAAGCAGGTTGCTGGGTTTCCTCTGCAGCTAAGATAGCCTGGCCCCACAGCCACCTCTCAGTGATCAGCAACAGGGGGCATAGAGTCATCAGACTGCTATGAAAATCCAGCCCGTGGCTTGAAGAGTTTGGGCAGACCTGCTGCAAAGGATGCTGAGTATACCCTAGAGCAAGCACAGCAAAGCAGAGGCAGTAACTTGCTCAGGAGGATTTTTCAACTTGCAAACTCACTCTGCATGTACAGACTCAATTCTGCAGAGTAAGGGCTCCCTCAGCACGCATGAGTTTAGTCCCATTACCCTGCGCTGTGTCGGTGGCCTGTTGAGTGAGCACTACCTGAGTACACACTGGCCCAATAATGATATTGTGACTCTGCACTTGGGCGCTCTGACTCATTCAGATCTCTTTTCTCTTTGCTGCTGGAAGATGTTACATCACCCTCACCCAATCGCTGCACCTGACCATGAGCGGGGCCCCAGCTGGGCCAGCAGGGACTGGCAAGACCGAGACGACCAAAGACTTGGGGCGCGCCCTTGGCATCATGGTGTATGTGTTTAACTGCTCTGAACAGATGGACTACAAGGTACTGGGTCTGACGTGATCCAGGGTCAGGTTGTGTCAGGGGAGCAGCCAGGGGGAGGGACAGGGCTGAAATGTCTCAAAAGCCTAAGGCGCTAAGGAACATCTTGTAGGAGGGCTTATTCCTTCACCCGCTCACTTCCCTGGTCCTTCTCGCATGAACAGAGAGCAACAATACCCGAAGTCCGAAGGTGCAAACAATTCAATGTTTATTGGGGTGAACTTTCAGCAAGCATGATTTCAGCTTTTTTCCTCAGTGTCCCTCTTCCCAGCTCTGACACCACAAAGCCCTGCCTGTGTCCCTGTTCCCATCCCCCCTTAGCAAAACATAATTCCAATTCCCCCACCCCCATTCCCTGTTCCCATTCTCCCCCTTTACTTCCTGATTGACTGCAGACTATATAGTAAAACTTGAGTTCTGCTTAACCAATTATTTTACTGAAATTTAACTAACCAATCCTAACATATTGTAACATGATTATTTAACCAATTATATGCCACCACCTTAATTGGTTTACACCCAACAAAATGAATTATACAGCAGGCAGAAACAATCACAGAACCAGACAGAGATTAAACAGACAAACAATAGGGAAGTGGAGACTACAGTGATAGAACAATACAGAAATGAGGATTTTACACCCCAACTATTGATAAGTGAGTTCTTGCCAGACAGGATGCTATTAAACTAAGTTTTCTTTACATCTTTTAGGCTCTTCCCTTTCTCTGGAGGTGATAGATCGGCTCACTTTTCTAACAGCTCCAGATTGCCTTATTTTAATGTGACTAGTTTAAAATGTAAGAATGTGACCGTTCGCTTTCCAGTTTATGGCTGCCTCTGCTGCTTAGCCAAAGGCCTTACTTAGCCTAAGAACAGGGCCTCAGACTGTCACAGTGAGAAAAGGCCCTATACAGGCAGACAGTGATTTTGATTCTTTCTTTTATACCTCTATAACTAGTTAAGTGATAAGAATACACCTAAATTCTTAAAGTATAGGCTTTTGCAGACAGGCCTGAATATCTATATCCTAACACTCCACCCCCTTTTTTTTCTTTTTCTTTTGGGATCCTTCTGCCCAGGTATTCCTGGAAAAGCATAGGACATATGGCGACACATTTCCTGATAGGGCCAGGCATTAAGATCTAAAGTGTTGCTATTTTATTTGTCCCACTGCCCCTTTGTGTAGTAGAGTGCCCTGCACCTTCTCTCATATGGGCATACCACATCTATTTTAATTAGTGTTCCAGACTTCCCATTATAGTGGGCCCGAGAGGGTTGGGTTCAGGTTGTTTAGTACACTGTGGCGGGGGGAGGGCTTACTACATTACTTATAGGTTATCTCCATATGTAACATAACACATGTACAGTTAACAATACAGCAGTTACTATGATAATTTACAGCAACACTGTGTTCTGACCACTGCAGTATGGTTCAACATTCGAGCCACCACCAAAACACCGCCTCTTCTCCTTCGACAGTGTCAAGATTTTAATGTGTTGCAACAAGCTGCCCCTGCAGGTTTTGCGTGCTTTTGTCCATATCATAAGTCCATTGAATGTCCACAGAGAAATGGATTATTGTGCAAACCAACTTAACCACTTGGTATGGAATCAGGCCTGGTTGGATTATTTACAGCAATAAGAGTTACAGATTTATCTGTGCACCAAAGTTTAGACAGTAATATGTACATTCCCAGCAAAACACCTTAGACACAGTACACCCAATTGTTCACCCCTTGCCATAGGCCATTGATTCTGCTTTTTCATAGTTATAGGAGAGGGGCACATTTAAACATTTTTTTTGATTTACACCATTTTACACACCCCTCCATTGATTCCCAGTGAGCTCCTCCCCTTTTTATTATTTTCATAGGGCTTGTGGAGACCACCTTAGTTGCCGTTCCATTTTTAGGTACCACGGTACCTATTACACAGGTGCTGGCCTTTTAGTAGAGCATTTTGCATTTTTATGCACATTTCCCCCCCAGATCAGTCTTTTGACGCCATCGCCACCCATGTCATAAGGTTTTTTGTTTATTGAAACACAACAATGCTAGCAACAAGACAAACACCACAGACAGACAACACAAAACATAGATTTATGGTATTTTGGATTATTTTTTCACTGGCGCCAGCTTGCTTGTAGAGTGTTTGAAAAACAAAAGAAACAATTTTCACCCCCCTGGTGGGGACAGATTATTACTTAATAATAATAGCACTTTTTTTTACAAATTTTTTTGCTAATTGCAGGAAAAACAGAAGAATTACCTTTAGGCTGTTCTTATTTTGTGAATTACCCGAGTGAATTACCCCACTCACTGGTCATTTATGAAATTTATGAGGTGGTGTGCCTCAGTTTCCTCTCTTGTACAACAGACCAGGTTTGCAATAGTTTTTTTGCTGTACCAAGCTTTAAGTTTATTTTTAGGTAATAGCTGAGAGACAGCTATAGATTTTTGCACTGCACGCACGCGCGCGCACACACACACACACACACCCTCCCTCCCTCCTTTATGGTTAACCTGTCCCCCTTATTTTCAGGCTTAACTTGTTTTTTCACCTCCCTTTTCTGGAGGGCCATAATCTGAGTCGTCTTGTAGCTTCTTTGCTGACCAGATGTATTTATTATTTGCAGCTCTTTTGTGCTGCTACTTATGGGCAGTTTTTTTTCTTCCCCCATCAGCTAGGTAATTTGCATTTACACAGAGGCTTTTTGTCTTGCTTTTGGATCCAAAGCTATTAGCAGCTTAGAGACTGTTTTAAAAGGGAAACATTTTACTTTCACCAGAGTTTTGATTACTTTTTACTTTTATTTTTTGCTTCAAAACACACACAAATTTGAAAAAGAAAGCACAACCTATTGTGGCTTTTTTTGGAGCCCTAACAGTTTTGTTAGCATTTTTTAATGCCTTTTTTAATATACACTGCACACATCCTGGGAAAATGCACATTTCTTTCATAGTTTAACCTTTATAACATTATATTAGACATATTAATTTTACGGAAGGTGTAACAGCCTCCCCCGTGCCCACAGAGTTTTCATGCACCCCCATCAAAGCGACAGTCCGATCCCCCCAGAGCCACCCCAAGGCTTTGTGTTTCCATCATTGCTCCCCTTTCCCTTTTCTTTTTCCTGTGCACACACACAAAATTCTCTTTTGCCTAACATCCCTTGCACTGCGATTACTCTTTTTTACACAACTGTACCCCGATTACATTTTGTACAACTAGAGACAGCCAGGGGCAGCCAAGTTAAGTTTCAATAGAAACCCCTTACATTCCTTTAGTGATTTTGATTACATTACCCAATAGTTAAATAATGTTGATGAGATTATCTCTCCGTCTGCTACAGTGATAGAACAATACAGAAATGAGGATTTTACACCCCAGCTATTGATAAGTGAGTTCTTGCCAGACAGGATGCTATTAAACTAAGTTTTCTTTAAATCTTTTAGGCGCTTCCCTTTCTCTGGAGGTGATAGATCGGCTCACCTTTCTAACAGCCCCAGATTGCCTTATTTTAATGTGACTAGTTTAAAATGTAAGAATGTGACCATTCGCTTTCCAGCTTATGGCTGTCTCTGCTGCTTAGCCAAAAGCCTTACTTAGCCTAAGAACAGGGCCTTAGACTGTCACAGTGAGAAAAAGCCCTATACAGGCAAACAGTAATTTTAATTCTTTCTTTTGTACCTCTATAACTAGCTAAGTGGCGTCTGACGAAGTGGGTATTCATCCACGAAAGCTTATGCTCCAATACATCTATTAGTCTATAAGGTGCCACAGGACTCTTTGTTGCTTTTTACAGATCCAGACTAACACGGCTACCCCTCTGATACTTAATTAATAAGAACACACCTAAATTTTTAAAGTATAGGCCTTTGCAGACAGGCCTAAATATCTATATCCTAACACATCTGATGGGTCAGCGTGAGGTCCCTTTGGTTATCTGCCACTCTGCCAATTGTCAGGCTCCTCCTCCTCCAGCATGAGCTGCATGCATTTGCATTAGACCCTGGGGAGCCAAGGACGTGCTGTTAGTGAGGCAGAGGCCAGCCTTCTGCTGTCCGCGGGGATCATCCTCCCTGTGGGACTCTTGGCCTCTGGTGGGGCTGGCTGCAAGAGGCCGGAGGCTGACCCAGCATGGGGGTTACAGCAGTCACCCCAGACTTACCAGTTTTGCTTAAGACAAATATGTAACGGTCCAGGAGCCCCATTATTTGTACAGTGCCCAGCACAACAGGGTTCTGGTCCATCATCGGGCTCCTGGGCATTACTGTAATTCACGCCATAAATAATGCTCAGCACCTAGCTCAGTGGAGACCTGGGCCATGACAACAGCTCCTATGTGCTACAATTATTCAAATCAACTACAACAACAACAGCATAGCACACTTTACTGGTAAGCAATGCAACTAGGGATTTTCATATTGGGTCGGGTCTGAAAGAGAGACAGTGATTGCAAAACCCAGATTACTTTGCCGTTCACTTTCTGTATTTGCTCTGATGCGGTTAGTGTTCTCCTTTGAGTATATGTCCCTGTGGGTGCTCCACCGTAGGATGTGCATGCGCCCGTGCACTCTCAATTGGAGAGTGCAAAGTAGTGTCCGTGGTCCCACGCCTGCGCAGAGCAGTGCTTCGTGGTCTGAACGAGGGCAGATAGGAAAGCAAAGCCTGACGCCACTCAGTTCCCTCTCAGATGCCTGCAGCTCGAGATGAAGAGTTCTGCTGTCTGCTGCCCTCAGCTTCCCACCTTAACTAGTGAATTCTTTACTTCATTTGTTTCTTTTAGTTACCCGTTTCTGATGCTTTTATTTTATTTATCTTCTGTGTGTGTGGTTGGGGTGGGAGCTCCTTCCCCTCCTCTTCTTCTTTGATCTTTTGTTTTGTGTTAGAGTGTAATTTGTTATGCCCCAGTCCCCAGGGTTTAAGACCTGTCAGACTTGCCACTGGTCCTTTCCCCGCAGTGACGGACACTCCAGTTGCCTGCGGTGTTTGGGGAATTC